CACTGAGATTTATCAGCAAAACATTCAAATGATTTGTGCAATGATTGGTTACCAAACAGTGATCCGATAGTGCATTCCAAGGTAAAGCACAAAAGCACAGCACTTTGGGCACTTTGTAGGTCACCTTCCAAGTGCCAGTGACAGGACCATTTAAGTGCCGGAGACAAGGATTCGTGGTGTTTACGACTAGACAAATATTAAATCGATGTCTACCAGTGTCAGTGGCCCTCAAAGCGCCGCCAGTGAGTTTATGGCCAACGTGGACAAACATTTCCGTCTGTCCACAACAACAGACGTCCACCAATTACTTACTCCAGACGCTCCCTGTATCTTCTGAAGCAAGGGAACGGTTATCCTGATGGCAGTGTTATCAAGCGAATTAAATCACTGAACATATTCCATGCTCGCAGCCATAGACAAGGACATCAAAATCAAAAAGACCATTCGGACCATCACCTCCACTAGAAAACCAGAGAAACTTACTCCTGACAGACCGTACCATTACACTGAAGTTCCACGAATATGGTATGATCTACCGTCTTTACTGCTCTCCAACGTCACTTCCTAAGCTAATAAATTTGACGAACTGGCAATCACAGTCTGATCAGTCACTGCCAACATCGTTGCCATATGTGAAGCTTGGCAAATTGTTTCTGAAACGTACCACATTGAGGGATATCAACTCTTTCATCACCTTCGTCCACATGGAAGCGGAGGGGGCGTTGCCCTCTTGTCAAGATGACCTACGCCCGTCACGCTTGGATGTTCAAGTCCCAGCTGACGTGGAGGCATTATGGGTACTGGTCGTGCCAAGGGGCGCCCACGCCACACTGCTTCTATCATATATTGTGTGGCATACCATCCACCTCGCTCACCCACCAGAGACACTCAGAGTTAGGTACCCATGTGCCAAGCTAGTATTGTGCGGGGATTATAACGAAATTGACACTACTGATATCCAGGACCAGCTGTCACTATCACAAGTTGCGAACTTCCCCACACACGGTCAAAATTCCCTTGACCTTATCTTAACTGACTTAGCGGACCAGTACCAACCACCTCAACCAATGCCTCCTATCGGGTGTAGCACACACCTATCAGTGCTCTGGTCTCCAGCTGCCACTACTGTGGTGTGGTGGATGTAATCCTAGACAAGGTTCTTGAAACTCCAGGGCACGAGCAGTAGATATATTCAATAAGGGTACAAGACTGGGCGTGATAGCCAACCGATACAGGAGCGATTACTAGGGACCCCGGACCGTAGGTAGGCCGAGGCCGATCTGAGGGAAATTAGCTAGCCAGGCAAGGGGAGTTGCTAGACATTCCTAGGACAATAAATGAGGTCTTCTAATTACTCGACTAGCGCGGTACAGACATAGTACATCGGGACATAGTAAATGAACATAGGCATTAGACATAAGCATGGACATCAGACATGCTATAATAATATGTAGTAATACAGACATGTGAATAAATGGTACAATGAATGGTAACAAGAGTCCTGGTGTCAGGCGTGTTCACATATCTTGGTATGTACATATCTATATAACTACCAGCCAACTGTAAAGACCCTACAGGCCCATTACTGACTCTGCAGTGCGCCTCTTAGGGCAGTGGATAGTCCACCATCCCTGGACTGAAGTAATTAGTGTAGATGACGTGGACACCAAATGGATAAATTACACCAACACCTACACGGAAGCTCACCACCACTTCTTCCCCGAGAAGTCAGTCAGATCACACCCAGCTGACTTGCCCTGGATCACACCTCGGATCAAAAAACTTATGCAACAGAGAGACAGCACCTTTTATCTCAATGACCACAACCGCTACAGGTTCCTTCGCAACCAAGTCATCCGCGAAATACGCACCGCAAAGAGGTCCCACTACCCAACCACGTTGCAACACCTGAAGCAGACCAACAACAGTCAGTCGTATGGTTAGCTTAAAGAACTCTGTGGACTAAATAATAAGACACACCCCTCCCCTTCCGTAGCCATCTCACTAATCGTGATGCAGCTGAGTAATCAAAAAACCATTTTGCAACTACATGCCAGTCTTCCTGCTTACCTACCAGCTCCCTTTCCCACCGACGTAGTAGAAGAATTTGAAGTAGCAGAACATCTGGACAAACTAAAGTTAAAGCACTCCACCACCCCCATTGACTTACCTATAAAACTCTACAAGGAGTTCTCCCCAGAACTAGCTAAACCCCTCTGCTCCATCATCAATGCCTCCCTCAGCCAAGCACAATGTCCAGCTGACTGGAAGACCTCATATGTGCCACCAGTGCCCAAGTTAACCAGCCCACAATCCTTAAATGAGCTACAACCCATTGCAATCACCCCAATACCCAGCTTAATCTGTGAAAGTTTCATGTTTGACTGGGCTTATGCTGACATTACAGGCGCCATACAACCTCAGCAATTTAGCAATATGAAAACTTCCTCCACCACTCACTGTCCTGTCAGCTTTCTCGACTACATATACCACCATCTGGAAAAACGAAAAAGGTCTGTGGCTGTCGCCTTCATTGACTTCACCAAAGCATTTGACCTAGTCGACCACAATTTAATCATCAACAAAGCTATCGACCTCGGGTTTCAAAGAAATCTAAAACTGTACCATGGCTTACAGACTTCCTCAGTGACCGACGCCAAGCCGTATGCTTCCAAGGGGCTGTCTCCACTTTTCAGTCACTCACCTGTGGCATCCCCCAAGGCACCAATACGGGACAACTTTGCTTCTTATGCTTATCAATGATACTCTAATAGAAACCCCTGCTCGCTGGAAATATGTCAGTGTCAACAACTTGGCTCCTGACTATACCGCCCTCCAGGATGTATTGAACAATCTCCAAAATTGGGCCACCAACAACCATACCAAGACCATGGTTATGTACATCAACTTCTCCTCCAATGATGTCCCACCCCCTTCCATTACTTTAGGTCCCAACACACTCCAGGCTGTAGACTCCACTAAGCTCCTCGGCATCACTGTAGATAAACTAAATTGGAAAACACATGTCAGTGATGTTGTCAAATCCTCCAGTTTCCATCTCCACCTCCTCCGCTGACTCAAGTCCTTCGGAGTTCCTGCGCCCGAGCTCCTCAGTGTTTACTCAACATTCATACTTCCCAAGTTCACCTATGCCTCCCCTGCCTGGTCTTCCTCCGAAAATGCCACACAACATAAACACCTAGAAAAAGTGCAAAAAGAGGGCATGCAAGATTATTCTCTGCCCTTTCTACTCCACATTTCAAGAAGCGCTCAACATACTGACCCTCTCTGACCATCACCACGACCTCATCTGCAAATTTGGTGAGAAGCTTTGGCACCATCCTCGACACCGGCTTCTACTACCACCCGAGATTCCTCGTCCACAAATTGTTGTTTAACACCACAATCGCATTCAGTCCATACGAGCACGTACTGATCTCTACAAGAAGAGCCCAGTCCCAACCATTGTAAAAATTATCAATAACTTGTAATCAACCAGTGTATTCACTCCCAGTCAATATTGCCTTTTTACACTGTCACTACATGTTGAAATGCCCTGTAGTATGACCTTCTCCCCACATATTTATTATACGGGTATATCATATTTGTATCACATATGTTACTTGTTTTTTATTTGTCAATCAAGAGACCCATTCCCCAATTATGCAACTGTATATCTTCAGCCTTCCAGATGCTATGCTCTTTCAATAAACCGTTAATTATTAATTATATTATTATTATTACACACACACACATATATTTAGAACTTCAATATTTGTTTTAAGCAAGAAAACTGTATGTAGCCATAAGAAATAGAAGCTAATCTTAGATACATACAGCTTTAAATAGCTAATCAATTCATAAACCCGATAACCATGTCCTCAGCCACCATATTATATCATACTGTATAATAATTTATGTACAGTAATACCCCGATTTACGCTGTCAATTGAACCCACGGAGTACCGCGTAAATGGAATAACAGAACATATGGGATTAATTGAAATAGTGACTGGGCCGACACCCAAACTCCACTTTTTCAGACACAATACCTACGTTGTAGTAAAAATAACATCTTCATTTTATGATGATATGCACACAAAAATTAATAATTAAGAGAAATATCAATAATATTAGGTTTTTTAACACTTACATTAGTAGAAAAGATGGCTTGGCTCACAGGGATGAGAGGGTTGGTTCCGAGGCAGAGGGCAGATTAGTGCCCCTCATCTGTATCAACTGTATCACTATCTACCACAGAGGCTTGCAGGGCCTCTTTGTCAAACCCCTCAAAGTCCATATAAGACCATATCCTCAGTATCAATATCACTATCACTGACTTGGGCCGGCTGTGGTGGGTGAAGAACTCGATTATGTTTTGATGACTGGGCGACCTTGTGCGCACCCTGCCAGCGCCGCTTCCTGCGTATATGAGTAGATGCACTGCGTAAATTGGACATTCCGGTTCTGGCGGGGTACCGCGTAAATGTGGAAACACGTAAACGATTACCGCGTAAACCGGGGTATTACTGTACAGGTATCCGTTGTTTAGCGATTGTCCACTTAGTGATAATTCAGTTTAGCAATACAGTAAAAAATTTCCAACATCCTTAGTTTTTTAATGATTTGCAATTGTTTGGTTTAGCGATCTTCGAATCACTGGGAAAAATTCTGGGGAGATGTCGAAAAAATGGGGATTCTGTGCTCCAAGAGGGCATCTCTACTGGGAGGGCGCTGTGGATGTATGTTGGCGAGTGTGGCTGTGAGGAGAACCTTACGGGCAGTAGTGTAAAGGTAGGGGCAGGTTGGGTGGATGGTCAGGTGGGCGGGCAATAGAGGAGGAGTGATGGTGCAGCGTATAGGCCAACTAATTGGGGTTCCGACTTATGGAAGTCCGACTTAAGGGGGTCTTATTCAGTACTTTTACAGGCGTTCCTGATGACATAGCATGGTTAAGAGTACTCGTCTATATATTACACCAAGGTAAATAAAAAATCATCTTGCAATATTTACTTTTATTAACATAATTTTGATGGGAGAATATTACTGCATGTAAGTAGGGATCTATATGGTATATATATATTACACATATACATGTTGCACACATTAGTGAAGCAATATTAAAAATAAGATTATGCAAGATGAAAATATGATATTTTATAAGGTTAAAAACCAATGGTAAAGAACAAACAGCAGTAAAAAGAAAAATATTCACACAGTCATTTAATTATTGGTTAACACATTTTGGTAATACGGATTCTATTTGAACAAAATGTTTGGAGGAAGTTCTTTCCCAAAATAATCAGACGAGAACTGAAAGAGAACAATGTAACAAAATAAATAAACAAAATTTTATGGCATAAAACACTTAATAGTCAATCAAAGAAAAAATGGATCAATGTTTGACTATGATAGATTATGAATGATCATGATTGTGTAGAAGTTGCATAACATTTGGTAATTAAAAAAAAAGTCATTCTTCATGTGTTTACTCATCCTTGAAATAAGATTCACCGTTGTCAAGTAAACCAAAATGATAAAAGTGACATTTATCAGTTAAACTGTTTATGGAAAGATTATTTTTCTCACTTTGGATATTGTCTCAGAATTGCCTAACAAAAATATTTTCCAGCAATATTATAATTATTATACTACCACTACCAATAATAATAATAATAATAATACAGTAATAATAATAATGACAAGATAGCTTAAGATCAGATATTCTCTTGTATGGGATCTTTCACATTCAATTCATTTTGGGTAATTTTTTTCAAACAATGTCAAGGTAAAATTTTGCAATTACCATTCAAAGATATTTGTCTGTGATACATGTACTTTTGTAGCCCAGTTTTTAGAGGATACAAAAACATTTTTAATAGATCAGAATAGTATGAAAATGTAATATCAACTAAGCCGTCCCTCAGATTATTGGAGAGAATTTCATACAAATATATTTTAATCAGTGCAATAAGAAACTATATCTCTGTCTTATTTTCAATAGTCTAATGCAGATATAGTTGGTATTTTCAGAAAATCACTGTAAATAATAATTAATGTGGTAATTCAGCTACTAAGTGTGTCTGTTCTATTTTGGCTACATATGTGTCCAACTTATAGATCTAAATAAAGACTGAGTTTCATGACTACAGCTGTTCCTGCAGAGTTTAGACTCAGCCTTAACAATATTAAAAGAAAACGACTGATTCTGTATCAAATGATACAACTGTATAAAATATACATACATATCACATTAAATGACTTCCACAGCATAAAAGAAACAGCAGTCCAAATTCTGAAACATCTTGTGAGGGTTCTAATTGGCTTTAGTTCCCTGTGAAAACTTCTGATTGGTTGAACACTCCTTAGTTCACTGAAACAGTTTAAGAATTCGTTTAACATGGTTGTGTGCAACACTCTCAGAAGTTTCTGTAAATTGCTGATATCACAATAAAGCTTCAAAAGGGATTACTATACACTCTTTGGAAAGTGCTACAAATAAGCAGTATAACCAGTCAGCTCAACTTTGTTCTCAGAACAGCAATAGTGGCAGCAGCAGTAGTATAGCCACACAACACCACACCCACACAACAATGCACCACACTTTTTTATTGCAAAACTTATTCCCAGTGATGTAAAAAAACCCACAAGACGTCCATGCACTATATGCACTAATTTTGGAACTAGATTACAAACTGATTTGCTTGGCAACTCCTTAGTAGCTTATAATATGAACATTTTGTTTCCAAAATTATTCTCACTTTAATTAAAAGATAAGTGTGGATATAGTTTAATCAAAAGAAACATGAAAAAAAATCAATAATAATGAGAAAATTATGGTGAAAATTAAATTACATTATTTAAATTAATGATACCGTGTTTGTCTAGTGATCAATATTTGCTATTACACAATCTATTATATAGTCGATCATAAATCCTAAATGTTTTAAAATACATTAAACTTGAAAATCCACTTTTTATTAATCTTTAATGATGCAGAGAGGAAAGAGGCGATCTAAATGCTTGTTATGACATGAGGAAGCACATAAAGAGCCTTAACATTGGCTTTCTGCATGGAAGCAGAATGATGAAGGATCTATGACTATCCTCCCAGTAACTATGTACTGTATATCAATCAACCATTCATGCTTTATAAAACAAAATCATTAATGTCATATAAAACATTGTTGGTATTTTTCCTTTACATTTTACCTACATTACCAACATTTTAAAATTTATGAAGGTAATGAGATGACGTTATGAGATTGCAAATCGTGAGTAAAATCAATAAACTCCTAAAATGCTGGTCCCACATTTGGTATTTTCTCCTTGGAATGACGTACCACAGGGATAGGCATTATAAAAGACACTCTTGACCTCATCTACTTTAAATAAAATTTCTGTACCTCAGATAATAGTGTAAATGGACAGTTCCTTGTCTAATCAAGCATATATTTTGTCAATAACTATGGTTTTCATCTTTTTATATAATTTGCCTACCAAGCACAGTCACTGTACAGTTTATCTACTAACTGAGAACTAAGAAATTGGTTGATAATGCCTCTGGCAGTCACAATACTGACATTCTTTTGAAGCTAAGTGCAGTGTAATAAGGCTGTAGGGTGGGCACACCATAAAGTAAATAATAAAAAGCAACAAGAACACTTGAAAATGTGACAAATAATTCATGAGCAATAATTTATATACAAAATCACCCTAGTAAATGTTAAAGATTCTACAAAACAAAGAGTTCTGTACAACACAGAACTTGGGTGTCTTATTTTAAGGTTCACATTACAGTGTCCACTGCTCCTGCTTTTACATTATTTACTCTACATATGGGGTATCAAATGCTGTTCTCAGAAAATGATGCATCATGGTCTTAAAAGTATCTACATATAAAAGTGGCACTGAACATCACTCGAGCACGGTCATCACTATACCACAAAAATACTTGAAGACACTGCTCTCTTCTTCATATTTTTTTTTCAGGAGTTCCTGACTTCTCTGGACTGACAATTTCTAAAACACCATCCATATTTTTTTTCCCCAAAAAGATGAAATCAGAAACTTATGTTTTTGAGGTGCAATGTTCCTGTATTCCAATAAAACCATTGTAGGCTTCTTTAAGCACAGCTTTAAATACACTATACAGTTCTGTACTAATATTTCACAGTTCCATCCCTCTCTCATATATCACAAACCAAATGTGTATCTTATCTTCAAATTGCAGTTCTGTATTTTATATACTGAATGTTCTATACTTCACGTATACAAAGTAAATTTCATATGAACACATGTAAAAGTTTCACTGTGTCTGTGTTTGCTGTTTATTTTCAAGGTTTATCACTCTCTTCTGCAGTTTTTTGTTTTGTTTCAAACACTGTGATATAGAACTGAAATGAGAGTTATATTCTCATAATGCAGGATACAGATTTACTAAATGGCAAGCAATCATGATATATTCTGTCCAGTCCATGAAAATATTAATTTTCATTGCTTTTTTATTCTTTGTTATCGCTTTAATGATCTTTGCAAAAGATTTTTTTCCAAACTTCAAGACAATAATACTGTAGTATATATATATATATATATATATATATATATATATATATATATATATATATATATATATATATATATATATATATATATATACACTGTAGTATTATTTCTTTTCTATAAATTTATAAAATTTCTAGTTTACACATTCAAGTCAGCCATCATCTTCCTGAAGTCAGAAAGTGTATTATAATCTGGATCATCATCATTTGAGTCATTTCGGTTTTGGTCATCGGAGGTAAAGGTAGGGTTGTATCGGCTCAGGGAGAGTGGACACGGAAGTAGCTCAGGCATTACTGAGTGATGAGTAATCAGTGCCGTCAGGGTGTTGAATTCCTTGGTGAAACCCTACAAAAACACATAATAGTAAAAAGTGTGGTAGTGAAGGAAACATGACTAAGAGACAAAGCTTTATTCCCAGGAACCAGGAATTGAGCTGCATTTCTTAGTCATATTTCATTCACTACCACACTAACAAAATAATAATGAAGTTTCTAGTTATTAATTCACTTTAAAGTACAGTCCAACCTAACCCCCTTCAAGTACAGTAGTCAGAGCCACAGCAAGTGAAGGCATGATGATCGAACAACCACCCCCGACCCTGTCTAAAAGTTTCTGGGTAGTTTTGTAACTATTGTTGCTGGTGATATTGTTTTGTGTCAATATCAGCCTTCACTGGCTATGGCTCTGGGTATTAGGGTGGAGGGGGAGCAATAATTGCTTCTGACTGTACAGTCGTGTAATAAAAAATTGTGTGGGTGTGTGACAAAGGATGAAAACAGGGAAATAACTGAGCTATTCATGGCACACATTTTAAATTTTCAGCATGAAAAGAGTTGCAACAATTCTGAATTTAACCAATCCTCTTTTCCTAAAAGGGTAAAGTGGCTTAAATATATCCAATAGATCTGCACTGTACTGTATATAAAAAAAATTAATTGTACAGGACAAGTGAGTGGATTCAGCAAAATGAATCGGCAATGACTGTCACTGGGAAAACGTCTTACCTTAATTTTGTATCCTTTATTTGTTTTAACAATGAGATAGTGTGCAATGCCCGAGACCGTGAAATCCCGTGGCACTCTTAGGCTGAGGGCATAACAGCCTGGTTTACTGGTAGACTCTCGCACCATGAATGCTCCAACTGGCTCATGACTGAGGACCTCCAAAGCAATCTCTCTGTAATATATTATTTTCTATTAATATACATAACATGATAAAATAGCATTCAATGGATATGCCTCAACAAACAATACAATGACGACATTTCTAAATGACTTTAAATTCTGAAGTTTATTCACAATTATGTAACCCAAGATATCATTACTTAAAGTAATACAGGTATATGATAACCTGGCCAACATAAGCAATTTTATTGCAATTTATTATGGATACACAGGAAATATATGTACTGTAGAGCAGAGTACAATAAAACACAGCAACTCAGTGAGCAATTCTGCTAAGGACCCTACAGGAAATAAGCAACTGATGGCTTTGCTGGCTATCCTTGGTTGAATTGCCTTATTGTTTAACATTGTTGGTACACCTAAACAGCACCTGTATCGTCTATATAGCTACATTTTGGCGACCTATGGTGTAATGGTCAGCATGCTTGCCTCGCAAGCGAGCAGACTCGGGTTCAATCCCCGGGCAGGGTGAAACTATGGATAATTTTTTTTATGCCATTTGCCTCTGTCTACCCAGCAGTAATTGGGAACCGGATGTTAAACGATTTGCGGATCGTATTCCGGGGTAATGGTTAGCCAGTGCAGTTGGCGAGATGTCCGGTCTTCTCAGACTATTCCTTGACACTGGGTCATGCAGCTCATTAACTCAGGGTGTGGTTGTTGTTTTGGCAACAGCTCCTACACCTTAAACAAATTCATGCCTAGGTGGCCCTTGGGCCGGCCATATTCGTTACACGAGGGGCAACCATTATTATTTACATGCTGAATTGCAAACTTATATGACCATTTTACTGAATAAACTAAGTGGAATTGAAAAAGTCATATCATATTGAATTAGAAGAATGGAATGCTTATCATATTATGTCCCATTAAAGTTGAGTACAGTACAGTACTGTATTTCAATTAAGTGTCCTCTTTGACTTACTCATAAAAAATCCCATAAATAATACAAGTCAAGCTCCAACATTCACTCTTACCAACATTATTTATTTACCAGTACAGTGATAACCCCATTAGCCGGAACAACCGGTGCAGAGCACTTCCGGGAATGAGAGATTTCCAGGTAACGAGAAGACTCTCTCAAAGCTGGAAAAAAATCTCTCATCCTCGGAATTTCCGGGTAACGGAAAAATTTTCTCGGGAGTTCCAGAAAATGCGCCTGATTTTTATCTCTCAAACCCGGAAAAAACTCCTCCATCCTCGGAATTTCCGTAATTTTCCGGGTATTGGGAATTTTTTTCGGAATGTTCTGTAAAATGTGCCCCTCGGATCGTTCCCAAAGCTGGAATTTTCAGGAAAATTCCGGCTTTGGGAATGATTTTCCGAGAAAATTTAAATTCCGGCTATCGGAGAGTTCCAGGTTTGAGGGATTCCGACTAAGGGAGATATTACTGTACGGTAATGCACTAAAGAAGCAAAGATATCATTGAATTATTACATTTATTTCATTGATGAAAAATGCAAAAAACAAGTTGAGCACAAAAAAATATTTATAACAATATCCAGCAGTTTTAGACCTTCCATCACAGTACAGTAATGTTATCTCGAACTTCCCAAAATATAGATGGACAAACTAACTCTCCAACTGTTGGGTCATTAAAAAAAAAAATCACAAATTAAATGGATTTTGTTTGAGCCATTATATTAAAAATTTAATGTATGAAACTACTGAATGTATAAATCTATGAATAATATTTTCAGGTGAACTCTGGCTATTCTGATAAGGAAACCGAGGCACTACAGGCAAGAAGTAGACAAGCAACAAGATTTAAAATAGAAAAGAAAAAATCTAATTACTGTTAAGTTTAGAGAGAAGTCATTATACCATTTCCACAGTTTGGGGAAGTGCAATGTTGTACTGTATATAGTATTGGACTCAACATGATGTTACATTAGTGATTTTGCCAGTGTGTGTATTACAGTTACTGGGGCCGATTAAGATACACATCCCATCTGCAAATACTGTTGCCAAAATTAACTCTCATGACTTGATGGCCTTGATATTTATCATTATCATCACCTGTCAGCTTAGTAGCCAGGTGGGTGGCTGGCCTGTTTTGTTACAACCATCATTGTCCAATGTTAATTGGGTCACATTGGATAACACCCTCCTCACATCTGACCTGGGACACAGTAGTGAGAGACGTGTGCTACTGCTACACCGCTGCTTTTATCACAATGTGTACTATTTTTCCTACTAGTTTGAACTGTATTACCACACCAATAAAAAATGTCTACAGTAATTATTAGCTTCAGTAATGTCAGCAACAATTCTCTAAAAGACTGTTTGATGGAAATTTTCACATATACAATTGAGAATGTGACATCACGTGCTATATCTCTCAAAATATTTGGGATAATGTGTCCTGTACACACGAGTACAAGTTTCAATATCATAATTTTTTAATTTCAGCTAAATACTGTAAACCATAGTACAGTACAGATACCTGTACCTGTAATAATGTTGGTGAAACCCCTTCATTCTTATATTACAAATATGAATGCAAGTGTGTTAGTCTCTACACTAGGTTTCAATCATAATTTTGAAGGATTTATGAAGTATCCTTAGAGGGGCCACTTTTTATACAGAATCTTCATTTGGGGGGGGGGGGAAGGCAAAATATGAAGGAATTCTGAGGATGGTTCTTCTAAGTCTTCATGTCAAGTTTCAATTACTGTAATGAACTTCAAAGACTCATATCTTACAGTCAGATATGATGAGCAAGCAGACAGACAGATGGACAGCTAAACATCATTCCAAACAAATCAAGCACAGTACAGTGCATACTATAATGATTTCAGCAAAACAAGAAAAAGTTGAAAATATCAAAATAAAGTATTCAAGAAAACTTTTTAAAATGATTGATTGTGAAAACATAAGCCGTTAGAAGGATAGCAGATTCCCCCTGAATAATTCCTGAATAAATCCCTTCTATTAGTCCTTACAGTACTGTAGTTGTAATGGAAGTTGAAGCAGAATTTGTCCACACACATACAAACACACAAACAAAAAAATAAACTTGCAATATCCCCACACGTTTCAGATGGGGGATAAAAACTTACAGTTCATACCTAGGTATGCCTGCCTGAAACCAAGCAGCAGTCTTGAGATGAGGTTCCTCTGGAGGAGTGAGAGAGTCTGATCGTTCAGGAAGAGGTGGTGGAGATGCTGAACGTGTACTTGAAGTGGAGACATCAAGACCCACTACTCCCGAGGAAGCACTGGAGCTCACAGAGATCTGAGAGATGCGCTTTAGTTTGACATCGTCTGAAAGTCGGCTGTGGAGGAAGAGAGTGCAAAGTTCTGTACTGAAGTCTCATTATAGTGATAATGCTTGAAACTAATAAACACATCAGAAAAAAAAATTCCCTTAACATAAAGTCACTTACTGAGCAGGGAAGACCATAATTGTTATATGTTTTAGTGAGTTACTAGGGAGAAAATCTATTTGACTTATACAATACAGTACCAAGCTACACTGCTGTTACTAACATTCATATTACCTCTTCATATTACCAATAAAAAAAAATTCTCCACCTTAAACACATTTTCTTATCTTCTAGACAATCCAACTACGGTACTGTACTCTTTCCAACTTCTTTTTTCATGAGTCACCTTCATTTATCATACAATAATCTAACGTGACATTCAGTAGTGTTTTCAAATACGGCATCTCCCTCAATTCATTTCAACAATATTTAGTTCACTCATAGTACAGTATTGACAATTTTTAGCTTAGTAGGATTTCAGTTTTATACTTGCATTCCCTAGTTTTTTTTCTTCAAGTTTCCTTCTCCTTGTTCCCTGATTCTCCTTGAACTTGGTTATTCTGAGTAAAATCCAAGTTAAAATCACATAAGCAAAGAGACTGACAACAATAGTAACCATTTCTTCAGACATGTACTTTATGTTATTTGCCATGGATTTAACATTTTCTTTGCAATACTCTAAATAATATAAGCCTTAACTCAACCAGGGTACCAAAAATTACCTATGAATTCTGGTGTGAAATGAAACATGACTAGCACCTACACTATTTGTATATCTAAAAAGTACAAATCTCCAACAATTGTACAGCTTGGTCAGAAAAAATACTCACCACTTATTGTCAGTATCTTGTTGGTCTTGGCCATCTGCAGATAGGACACTGTTTACAGAAGAATCGCTGACCTTCTCATTGACATAACCAACAACTGCAGTGCTGGTAGTCGAGGAGGAGCTGGTACTAGTAGTAACGCACGAGGTTTGACAAGATGGGGAGGGAGAGGAGGAGGAGGTGACTAGGGGGTGAAGGTCCTCCTCCAAGTTCAAAGTGGATTCGAGGGCAACACTCAACTTTTTGATGAGTGGTGGCTTGTCTGCTAGCCTCTTAGAGCTGTTTAACTCAGACGGGCTGTCACAAAAAAAAAGGAAGATATCTTGGGTAATGAATCTTACAATTTCTACACTTAAACTTTTCTTCATGCAGTATATCAAAGTTTCTATTGTACTAATGGAATGACAGAAAAAAAAATTATGGTACAGTATGTATTTCAGACATCAAAATAACTGTAAAATTTAAAATACCTGTAGTTGATAATATGATTATAGTACAGTATAGTCTCGATTTACGCGGATTTGGTTTACGTGTTTGGTCATTTATGCGGCACCTTGCCAGGCCGACAATTTTTATTTACACGGTTCATTCCGTCATTTACGCGGGAAGTGGCGTGGGCAGGGTGCACACAAGGTCACCCTGTCAACAAAACATTACCGAGTTCTTCACCCGCCACCCACCACAGCCAGCCCAAGTCAGTGATAGTGAGGATATGGACTTTGAGGGGTTTGACAAAAAGGCCCTGCAAGCCTTTGTGGTGGATAGTGATACAGGTAAGTGCCAATAATCTGCCCTCTGCCTCGGAACCAACCCCCCATCCCCGTGTACCCAGCAATCTCTTCTACTAATGTAAGTGTTAAAAAACCTAATATTATTGATATTTCTCTTAAATATTAATTGTGTGTGCATACCATCATAAAATGAAGATGTTATTTTTATTACAACGTACCGGTACTATTGTGTCGGAAAAAGTGTAGTTTGGGGGTCGGCCCAGTCTCTATTTCAATTAATCCCATATGTTGTTATTTCATTTAACGCTTCTCGTTTTACGCAGACCTCCACGGGTTCAATTGACCGCGTAAATGAAGACTATACTGTACTGTATTTAGAGCACTGTACCCCCAAAAAGAACACCGAACTCTTGATAATCAGTTGTAGCAAGTGAATACTGTACTGTACTTCAACAGACTAAAATATACTATACTGTACATATACAGCGATATCCCTGTTAGCCGGAACAATAGGTGTAGAGCACTTCTGGGAATGAGAGATTTCCGGGTAACGAGACGACTCTCTCAAAGGCGGAAAAAATCCCTCACCCCCAGAATTTTCCGGAATTTTCCGGGTAACAAAAAATGATCTCGGAAGTTCCAGAAAATGCGCCTGATTTTCGTCTCTCAAACCTGGAAAAACTCCCCCATCCCAGGAATTTTCCATGCATCGGGAAAATATTCTATGAATTTTCCAGAAAATCGTTCCCAAAGCTGGAATTTTCCAGAAAATTCTGGTTTGGGGAACAATTTTCCAAGAAAATTTAAATTCCGGCTATCGGAGAGTTCCAGGTATGAGGGATTCCGGCTAACGGAGATATTACTGTACTATACTGTACTGTACTTTCCATTAACATCCCAATGTACCCACCTATTGCTGTTCTCACTATCAGGTGAATGAACAATGTTGTCATTCTCTGGGTGGCTGTGTAGGCCAGGCAGAGAGGAAGGTTTCTGTAGCCCCAACAAGTTGTGTGTGGGGCTAGAGGCTACGGCGGAGCTACCGGGGGTTCGCATTTTGGAGCTGGGACTAGACTCAGGAGAAGCTGCAGCAGCCTGGAAGGAATATCACATATCAATAATAATCTACACTTGCAGTGACACTTGCTATAAATGTTTGTGTAATGTATCCAAACCTGATTGGGATCTTGCATTAAAATTTAGAATTACTACAAATAAGTAAAAATTATATACTGTACAGTACTTCTTTCCACTTGGCTTAACTTGTCAGATTATACTGTAATTGTGAGCACAATTACAGTGAAATTACATCCACAGTAGAAATGCCAAGAGTTAGAGTATTTTTTACCAATACAATACCTGCATGGAGACTGTAAGAATGATGTTATTGGAAATATTTAAGTAATTCATTATGTTTAACCCTTTAAAAGGGCAAAGCATCCATTAGGTATTTTATTCTGGATAACACCTGACGATTTTATTCAGCTGAAGGGAGCCACTGCCCACTAAAGGGTTAATATGTTAAAAAATGAAAAATGGGCAGATGACTTATTTGGTGATAAAAGTACACCAGCCAAACACAGAAAAGTCCTCCAGAAAAAGAGTTTGACAGCATTGTCATGTTAACAGCAATGTATCCACACTAGAAGGTCATTCATAGGGTAAAAGACAACATGTACTGTAGGTGAATGCCATTGTAAATTTTAACTTTGAAGATCAACTTTAAGGTTACAAAGGTCAAATTAGCTATATTTCAGAGTTTTTGCGATTTCAATTATTTGTAAGGAAATATTTCTTAGCCTTTCAATTTATACATGACTGTATGAACTATTCAACTTGATTGTGTGATTTTCACACAGTGTTTCTCATGTATATTACATGTACAGTACAGTATTTGTACACTTACTGTTTATTATTATTATTATTATTATTATTATTATTATTATTATTATTATTATTATTATTACCCCGCTTTACGCGTTTTTTTTTACGCGTTTCCACGTTTACGCGGTACCCTGCCAGACCCGGAATGCTCACTTTACGCGGTGCGTGTACTCTTTTACGCAGAGAGCGGCGCAGGCAGGGTGCACACAAGGTCGCCCAGACATCAAAACATTACCGAGTTCTTCACCCGCCACCCACCACAGCCGGCCCAACTCAGTGATAGTGAGGATATGGACTTATATGGACTTTGAGGGGTTTGACAAAGAGGCCCTGCAAGCCTCTGTGGTGGATAGTGATACAATTGATACAAGTGATACCAGGTGAGGGCCAATAATCTGCACTCTGCCTCAGAACCAACCCCCCATCCCCGTGTGCCCAGCCATCTTTTCTACTAATGTAAGTGTTAAAAAACCTAATATTATTGATATTTCTCTTAATTATTAATTGTGTGTGCATACCATCATAAAATTAAGAAGTTATTTTTACTACAACGTAGGTATTGTCTGAAAAAGTGGAGTTTGGGGGTCGGCCTGGTCTCTATTTCAATTAATCCCATATGTTATGTTGTTCACTTTGCGCGTTTCTCGCTTTACGCGGGCCTCCGTGGGTTCAATTGATCGCGTAAAGCGAGGGTTCACTGTATTATTATTATTATTATGCTGTTGTTGTTTTTGGAAATCTTGCTGGACTTCATCAGGGCTGAGAGGGATGGCAGTCGATCTCTTTACCTTGAAGCCTTTGCTGCAATGCTGCCATGGCTCACCATCTACGATCACACAAACTATGCCCAATAGGGACCTGTATATCTTGCTGACATGACATGCCTCAAGATGACTGCACCAGAGATTCATACTGAATTTAAAGCTGGGAATTTTGTTGTGAAGAGAACTAAAAGGCACTTCACCCAAGTTCCTGCTGATCAGGCAACTGAGTGGAGAAAAAATATGCAAGATGCACAATGGCATCATAGGAATTACAAGGAATGATCATGCCAGAGACAAGTTCTGTATCACATAGCACGATCACGCACTTCACAGTACAGTATATCAGATGTCTCTTCAATCTAAAAGATGGTGAAGAAGAGACGACTATCACACGATCTGACAGTCTTCCCTCCCAGATGAAGTGTGATGATGATGATGATGTTAAGGAAACTTGTGGCACAGCTGAAGAAATTTGATGTGTTCTATGTTCAGCCTGCAGAGCCTCCTAGTGGGATAAAAGGAGATGACGGAGATGATGAAAGAACCCGCATATTCCTGCTCTCATTAGCAACAAGAGACATTGCACCAAATGATGTGTTGAATGATCTAACAGCTGAACACCGTTGACAGAAGCAAGTCATTATGAATGTAAAGCAGAAAATAAATCTGTATAAAGCAACTGTTTTCACCAAACAGAAGGTTCAGAAATTTACCAAAGATGACCGAAAACTACTGCAGCGATTGTTCTGTGCTGTCACCAGAGGTAGAACAGTGGTTATGATGTACATCCTGGAACATGAACTGTCTCCTGTTCCTCTGTCTCTAGCTAAGCCTGGAAGAGTGATGAATTCAACACCAAAGGCAGAGCTGATTAGTATTTTAATAGTTGGAATTAGTGCACCTTCATAAGTTCCCACAGCTGAACCTGAAGATATGTTTGTTGATTGATGGCCATGCACTCATTCAAGCCTTGGAGAAGCCTCAGGGCTGTCAGACATTTGGTGACTAAGCAGATGTATTCATTCGAATTGTGTCACGTCACTTTGGTGAACACACAACCAGAGTTGATGTGGAATTTGACTGCTACATTGTAGAGGGGTCATTCAAATCAGTAACCTGTTCCAAGAGACTGGGAAAAAAGAAGTTTATCCGCTTTCTGATCGATGGGCCAAACATCCCACTTCCACAAGTATGGAGCAATTTCAGAGCCTTGGATGAGAACAAGGCCAACCTAGCCCAGTTACTGTCTGAAGCCCTCATGTAAAAGGGAAAATCTCTACCAGAACGATATGAGCTCTTAACAGGTGAAGGATTCCCTGGTGCTGCTGAGGCCAGATCTTCCAAGAGGCACCAAGTCCCCCTTCAAGCAAACCACGAGGCCGATATGAGAGAATCCTGGTCAGCAGCAGAGATAGAGATGTTATGCGTCTACTGGTGCACTTTGTGCCTGAAAAAGCAACAGAGGAATAGATGATCTCTGGAACAACCAAGAAGTGAAAGTGTTATCTGATGTACACCTATTTTCCAAAAGTTTTCCTAAGATATAAAGGAAAATCTCCTTAACTTTCACCCCCTAACGGGCCTAAGTGGATGTAACGCAACCTCTTCCTTCAGTGGACATGGAAAAAAAGATATGTTGGAAGACATTCCTGAAACAACCACTGCTGGTCAATACCCTTAAGGGAATTGGTCGTGATGGAGATTTTTCACCCGCTGAACAATTTGTGTGCCACGTATATGGTACCCAAGAGCAGCTGACTGTAAACCACGTCAGACTTCAACAGATGTTACCACCAACCAGAGATGCCCTGGAGCTTCACCTTCCACGTGCCAATCACCAGGTTAAGATCTGGCTCCAGGCAGACCAGGAACATATAGATGTTCCCATCCCCACCAATACAATTGGCTGGGAGATGGACCAAGGTGGTCTGCAAGCTATCAGGACAAGAATACCAGTATACCAGATGCATGTCTCGAGTGGATGCAGAACAAAGTGTGGGACAGGCCGGCGTACTTGTTTAAAAAAGAATTGGTATTCCCGCCTGTGGCTGTGATGCTATAAACTGCTGTAATCCAGCTGGACAGTAGACATGACAACATGACAGCCTGATATCTTAAAAACAGGAATTCTGAGAGGAGTAAGTTGCAGTGAGACTGAGTGGATCAAAAGAAATACGCTGAGGTAGTTTGGCCGGTGTTCAGAGCACATAGAGTGCATAGAAAAGTCTTTGAAAGTGAGGTGAAAGATAGTGTGGGAAGAGGAAGCCCATGTAGAGTGGAGCAGTATGTCAAAGAGAGAGGGCAATAAGAGAGAGCAAGAGAGATGTGTCACAACAAAGTAGCCTAGATACGTTTCCGTCATGACCACCCGTTGGTCGAGGGCTACACAGGAGGGGGCTTTTGTTACGAGACAGATGGTTTTGAAATAAATTTTCGTGAAAAATCAAATTTTGCATAAGTGTACGTTATGTCATATTTATATATAATATATATATATATAGATAAATATAAATAAATAAATAAATAAATATATATATATATATATATATATATATATATATATATATATATATATATATATATATATATATATATATATATATATATATATATATATATATATATATATATATATATATATATATATATATATATATATATATATATATATATATATATATATATATATATATATATATATATATATATATATATATATATATATATATATATATATATATATATATATATATATATATATATATATATATATATATATATATATATATTTACAATAACTGTTTTGCTTATTATGTACAGAAGAATTATCAAACAAATGTAGTTTGAGTTTTGGCCTGAAAGATCCAGCAAAGATGGTTTGAATTCATGTGAAAATAAAAATATAAATTTTATCATATTTTACCATTATTACAGTCTAAATCACCGTTAAAATCAAAAGTATGTGTGGCATCCACCCACAAATGTTTTTTTTTAATCCTAAGTAGAATTGATATACATGGGTGCCTGCTATGAACACGTCAGTGCAGGCCAAGTTGAACAATCCCATGTTGGCCGGTCCACCCACTAATATATATTCCAGAAACATTGGTCATTCATGTACAGGAGCAGAACAAATATACTGCACGGCACTGTACTGTACTGCACGGCACGGCACTGCACTGTACTGTACTGTACTGTACTCGTATTTACGCAAATTTCAAACTTTCATTGGGATGAATTTCATTTAAAAAATGAAGAAAAAAAATCCATATATTATACCTGTACCTATATACCTGTACTACAGTATGCTGTCAAGTATAATCTGTGAAGTTGTCCTTCATCCTGGGTCATGATTTATGAACAAAATATATACAGTAATGTACAGGTGTTTAATTACAACAGGTGCACAGGGACTTCTCAATCACCTAATATACAGAATTATATAATGAGAAAATTCCTAATATTCAAGGTTATTATTTTTTCCTCGTTAAACCTAAAAAAAAAAAAAAAGAGTAAGATAATAAATTAGCTCATTAATCAAAATTATTATCAATCACTACTCAAGGCATATTCACTTAGCGTCAATACCTGTTGTGATAACGATGAACAAATATGATCACACGTCCGCGGATGTGGATGTGTGTGGGTATGTGTGTGGATGTGGGCATGCGCTGGGGTACCACAGGGCGAGGGTGTGTGAGTGTGGGCGTGACTGTGATGGTGGGCTAGAGTGTGTGGGAGTGGGGGGGTATTGCCATGAGTGTGAGTGGGGATCACATCACGTATGGTGGCTCCGGATTTCTGGAGGTGGGCGGCGTAGGCAAGGCGGAAGGCGTGACCCACGATGCTATTGAGTTCCTCGGCCTGTGGAGGAGGAGAGGTCTTAGTTAGTGGCATTACGAAGGCAGGAACATCAGAAAACATTACTGTGATGCGATTAAATAAATAACGAGGAAAAATAAAGATCAAAACAATTACTGGGAAAGAAATGTGATGACGGTGTGGGAGAGTGATGATAGTGAGCTGATACTGAAAGGAAAGGAAAGAGGGACAAGAAATGGGAAATACAGATAAGAGACACCAGAGACATCTGGTCTTATACACCTTACAAATATAAAAAAACAAAGACAAACTAAGAAAGAGAATAAAAATAAATAAATAAAACGGAGAAAGAGTAAGAGTGATGATCGTTACAAAAGACAAACGAGAGAAAGACGAATAATGGAAAATTAAAGTATATTAATAAAGAAAATATATAAAGTAATGCAAGAGATAAATATGATAAAATAATTTCAATAGCTAACACTGTAGTAAAAAAAAAAGACCTAGTCCATATAGAAAGTAATACCATAAGTCTCTCTCTTAATTTAAATGTGTTATTTATATGTATTTATATCCGGAGAAGAACCCGTAACGATATCTACTGTACCGTCTAGCACATTTACTACTCACTGAAAGAAATTACAAAAATACTGTAGCCAGGCACTAATGCAAAATACCGTGGGATACAAAAACAATAATATGATAGTCAGTACAGTGCATCATAGTGTATAATGATTAGTATAGCATGATGTATAATGATTACAGGTGTACCAAGATGTATAATGATTACACGTGTACTATAATATATAAAGATCACAAGTGTACCATGATGTATAATGATTTCAAGTGTACCGTGATGTATAATGATTACAAGTGTACCAAGATGTATAATGATTACACGTGTACTATAATATATAAAGATCACAAGTGTACCATGATGTATAATGATTTCAAGTGTACCGTGATGTATAATGATTACAGGTGTACCAAGATGTATAATGATTACACGTGTACTATAATATATAAAGATCACAAGTGTACCATGATGTATAATGATTTCAAGTGTACCGTGATGTATAATGATTACAAGTGTACCAAGATGTATAATGATTACACGTGTACTATAATATATAAAGATCACAAGTGTACCATGATGTATAATGATTTCAAGTGTACCGTGATGTATAATGATTACAAGTGTACCATGATGTATAATGATTTAAAATGGTTAAAATGGCATATAAATAATGATCATAAAATTTAACTCTGAATATTTAGTTTTAAACAGTAAATTTTGTTGATCCAATCGGGTTACTCGTCAAACAATGGTGGTAATTATGTACGGTGTCTGTCTGTCTGTCTGTCTGTCTGTCTGTCTGTCTGTATCTTCGTTTCTTCATCTTCATCCTTGTGCACTGTGGTGAGTCTCCATTACAACGTGTCAAATGCAAGATAAAATATAAGAACACACGAACAAAAACGATTAATTATTTGTCAACAGAAAAAAAAAATAATGTCGTGGTCCTGTTCGTGGTGATTTTCGAAACATTATCCACGTTGCAGCTCACCAGGGGGTATTCGTCTTGTAGGAGGGAGGGAGGGAGGGAGGGAGGTAAGGTGAACAAGGTACAATAACAGGAAACGACACCATCAGATAGGAGGAAGCAAACTTGTCCTGCCTTAAGCCACATCAACATCACTCTTTGGGGTAGGGGGGGGTGGGGAGTTTGTAACCCTCACCTACCGCTTGATCTCTCATACAACTGAATTTTCCCTTTGTTTATACTTCACTGTCACCTACCACCATCTACTACCCCCCTCCCTTCCTTGTACTACCTCTTATACCATCTACCACCACCGTATACTTACCACCTACTACCATTACTTGTACCACTTACAACCGTTACCACCCACTACCACCTGCATTAGCCACTTACTAGTCGGGATATCCCACAGAAATTGAGGCTTTGTGTAGTGTGTTTCAGCCTCGGGGAGTTGGCAACACTGTCTTCCTTTGTATCTCTCTTGATTACTGACTTAGGTAACAATGTACAGGTAATGCCTTATTCATAAGAACATAAGAATGGAGGAAACTGCAGCGGGCCTATTGGCCCATACTGGGCAGTCCCATTTACACCCAACCCCTATTGCTCATATGAGCATCCAACCTATGTTTGAAGCTATCCAGCGTATTCGAGTTAATGATGATATTTGGTAACTTGTTCCATTCATCCACTACTCTATTTCCAAACCAATGTTTACCTATTCCCCGCCTAAATCTAAATTTGTCTAATTTAAAACCATTGTTACGAGGTCGCTCTTGGTTGGATAGTTTGAGTACCTTTGTAATGTCCCCTTTGTTTAGCCCTGACTTCCATTTATATACCTCTATCATATCGCCCCTCACTCTACGTCTCTCGAGGAAGTGCAAATTAAGATGCTTTAACCTGTCTCTGTACTCCAGGTTCCTAATGCCCGGGATTAGCCTTGTCATTCTCCTCTGAATTCTTTCCAAGGATTGTATATCCATTCTGTAATAAGGTGACCAGAATTGAACTGCGTAATCCAAGTGAGGTCTCACAAGCGCAAGATATAGTTTTAGGATGACCTCGCTAGTCTTGTAACTAACACTCCTTTGTATGAACCCAAGTACTTTATTAGCCTTGTTTCGAGCAAATACATATTGTTTACTTGGCTTAAGGTTCCTAAATCTCTCTCGCAGTCGGATTTCTCAATGGCATCGTTGTTCATCTGGTAACTGGTTTCCCTGTTTACATCTCCTATTCTGAGTACTTTACATTTGTCCACGTTGAATTTCATCAGCCATTTTCCAGACCCTTCGAAAAATTTGTTTAGATCTTCCTGTAGTTTTGTGGAGTCCTCGTCAGATTTAATAACACGTCCTATTTTGGTGTCATCCGCAAATTTACTTATGTTGCTGTCTATGCCAATATCTATGCCGTTTATGTATATAATAAATAATAATGGTCCAAGTACTGAGCCTTGGGGAACTCCACTGTTGACGTTGCTCCAATGGGATTTAGTGCCGTTAATGCTCACTCGCTGTTTCCTGTCCTGTAACTACGCCCTAATCCATTTAAGGATATTACATTTGATGCCATGTGCTTCTACCTTTCTAATTAGTCTTTCGTGGGGGACTCTGTCGAAGGCTTTGCTAAAGTCGAGATATACCACATCATAATTGTGCCCCTCGTCCACCGATTCGAAAACTGGTGAAAAGAATGTTAATAGATTAGTTAGACAAGAAAGCCAGCTTGTGAAGCCATGCTGGGAATCACTGATCAATCGGTGCTTCTCCAGGTGATTTTGAATAGAGTTTGAGATGATTGCTTCCAGTAATTTGCCTACTATTGATGTTAGACTGATTGGGCGGTAGTTAGAGGATAGTGATCTATCCCCCCTTCTTGAAAATCGGTATTACATTCACTATCCTCCAGGATTCTGGCACTACACCTGTTTTTAAGGACATGTTAAACAACTTTGCTAAGGGCATACTAAGCTCTTCCTTACATTCCTTTAATACTCTGGCAAATATCTCATCGGGACCAGGTGACTTATTAGGCTTTAGTTTGTCTATTTGCTTACTAACATCGTTACTAGTCACTACTATCTCGCTTAATTTTTCTTCACTATCTCTGAATAGAGTCGGTGCCTCGGGTATCATGTTTAAACTTTCGGTGGTGAAAACTGTTGAAAAATATTTATTCAGATTATTGCTCATTTCTCCGTCGTTATCAGTTAGCTCGCCGGTATCTGACCTTATTGGTCCAATCTTTTCTCGTGTTTTAGTTTGATACATTTGGTAGAATCCTTTGGGGTTTGTCTTCGCCTCCCTTGCTATCCTTACCTTATTATTCCCCTTGGCCTTCCTTATCTCGGTTTTAACCCTACTCGCCAATACCTTATAATAATCCCGGAGGTAAATTTTGCCATGATTTATCCTTCTACCTATAGCCTTCCTTTGGTCAATAATGTTCTTTAAATAATTATTTATCCATTTAGGGTCATTGTTGTCTGATCTGAGTTTTTTGTATGGTATGTTCTGCCTTTGTGTAACTCATTATTTAAATAGTCGTGGAACTCGGCAATCTCAGATCTCGTTATCAGGCCGGTGTCAACCATCAGGTTCGCGGGTGGGGTGGGGTCGGTGTGAGTCACCCCCAGGCGTGATACCCCTTCCCTCAACTGCCTCTTCAAACCATCTAAGTTTGCCCTTCTGAAATCTGGGACTTCAGAAGGGCAAACTTCATTTAATTAATTAAAAAGTAATAAATGAATTACAAGTGGACGTAGATATAAGTATTGTACAAGAACTAGGGCAGGTACAGGTATAGTCAGGTGCATACAGAACATTTCCAAGTACAGGTACAGTAATAAGGATAAAGGTATAGAGGTTATCAAAATAGTCTGGTCAACTCTGTGTCTGTGTGTGTGTGTGACGGGGGTAGGGGGTGGGGGCACGTATCGCCTGTCACGGTCTGTAAGGATCACATTACAAGGATGTGACAGGAGAGTACCACGTACCTAGCGCGCACGCACACACACACACACATACACCTTCTGGCTGCTATGCTCTTTCAATAAACCATTATTATTATTATTATTACACACATACCCAGACCCGGATTGATGGCCATGGTTGAACGAATAAAGTAGTCGGATGAAAACACGAACGCGCCAACAAGTGGACGAAAGAATGGACGGACACTTCTGAACAAACGAAAACAAAAACGATTTAAAACACGAATAGATGAAAAGCGTCAGAAGATTAGATTAACGAATGGATAAATGACAGAAAAAGACGAATAATGGGGGGAGAGAGAGAGAGAGAGATAATATATAAACTTGGACTTTTGTATATTCCCGTCATCGTTGGATTAGTATTACAATTATCATTATTATTACTGCTTTTAAATAGAGTTAACATTATTATCATGTTAATATTATTGTTTAGTATTTTTATTATCATCATCAATAACGTTATGAGTAAGTAATAGTGTTATTATTTTTACACGTTGTAC